GAAATAAAAAATAAGAAAAAACAAAAATAAAATAAAATAAATAAAAAAAATAAAAAGAAAGAAAAAAACCCCATAAGAGAAGCTATTAATTAAGAATTCAAGTTTGGGGAATTTTAGCAAGGGAGAAATTATCAAAAGTGCTATGAAGAGACCTTGCCAAAAATTACCTCTAATTTTGAGCTAAGGAACTTCAATTTAATCTCCCTTTACAAATAAAATTTGTTTTTAATATAAATAAAAATCCTGATATTAAACATTATTTGTACTTTTGTAACCATATTATTCTTTTCTTTACTTAGCTAAGATTATATCCCTAAAACCCCATTACAACCTAAATAAAGACATTTTGATCTTTTAAAATTGTATGCATTATAATTGTGGGGAAGGGATGACTAATTTTGCTTATGGGAATGTTGAACTTGTATTTAAACCTCTTATTTTAAGGTTAAATGATTTTTGTGAAAATTCATACTCTATCTGTCATAAGTTGAATAATTATTAGTGTTAAATGTTAAAATCTTGTTAACCTTATGTTTAAATTAAAGGAATGTTTTTAACTTGAAAGTTGAATTTTTTTGCTAAGAATATAATTAGCATCAGGAAACACAATGATTTTGTTCTCATGTTATGACTTTGATTACTTATTGAAATTGTGAATAATTATTTCCCTACTAATATTAAGCTAACTTTGTTAGTTTTTTATATCTTTGGTTGCTTGAGGACAAGCAAATGGTTTAATTTGGGGGAATTTTGATAAGTGTTATTTTATAGTATTTTTAAGTAATTTATTAAGTTTTTTAGTAAAAATTTTATATTACTTTATTTAAGTTTTAACTCTTAATTTTAATTTATGTTTTTCCAATATAAAGCCCTTGAATATAATTCACTTGATCTTAAGAAGTTTACATAGGGTTTTTTTGCAGTCAGAAAAATGAACAAAAAATGAAAGCAAAAATATTTTACACGCCACGCCCGTGCCAATCAAGCACGACCCGTGCTAAAACCCAAGGAAATCAAGCAAAGATTCAGACCCGGTCACCCCCAGAACCGTGCGTTCCAAAGCACGCCCGTGCTAATACCAAGTGGCTGATTAAGTCAAAATTTCCAACTATTTCCTTATCATAGTTTCATAGCTCACCGTTGATACTTTCTTGACATGCAAATCAAGTTCGTAAAATCTATTACACAATGGAAGAGACAAAGATTGAAGAGAATTTAAGGCCTAATGAGAAAACTTTATTCCCTAAAACAAGTGTAGAATTTTTCCCCTAAACAAGTAAAATTTCTCTCCCAAAGAAGTCTAAATATAAGAGAGGAAGGATCCTCAATTCATACTCCACACTCAATCTTCCATCTCATATATCTCTCATTCTCTTAGTCTTGGTACAATAGTTTTTATTTTCCCTTTAGAAGTTAAAGTATTCCAAAGAGTTGTGCAAGTTTCAGGAACCATCCCAACAATTTATCACTAGTTTCTTATTTCTAAACTCTTAAATCTTTTGTTTATTTCTTTCATTATTTCTTATTGATTATGAAAAAAATATTTATAAATAATTATTGAGTTTTAAATTTAAGTACCATGTGTACTAAATTCTTATTACTAGGAGGTTTGAATGTAAACCTTAAATCTCCTTTCCAATTTTATGCAATTAAGATTTTATTTTCCTTATTCAACGTTAATGAATTTATTAATGAACTTAATGCTTCTATGCAAGAAATTTTTTTCCCTTAAGATTGATTTATTTCAATTAATCAACTTCGGAAGTAAGGATCCTTTGATACTGAAAAGGTTAATAATAAACATATGAGAACTAAAATAAACTTGATGCGGAAGCTATATGGTTTTGACTCATGGGGGTTTTTAATGATTTATCAACCTTAAATTGTAAATTCAATAAACTACATAACTTAATGATCTTAATTCATATTTGATTGCGCTAATTGGAAGATAGGTAAATTAAATGGAATTAAGAAAGTAGCTAGCAATAACAGATCGGGAAGAGGCTTGTTAGTGAATTTTTAGAGTTGTTTCCCTCCCCTAATTGAATAATTTAAATGTGATTAATGAACTCAATGAAATAAAATTGGAAAAGAATTAAAATTGAAATTAAAACCCCCTAAGTAGTTTCAATTCCCTTTGGATATTTCTTTAAATCAAATTTTGTTCTACTTGACTCTTTGTTTATTTTAACATTTATAAAACAATTCTCACTCAATTATAATCGTTTAAAATAATAATGAGATAACAATAATTTTGGTAAAACTCTGGATTACAATCTTTCGTGGGAACGATATCTTAACTCATCATATTATTACTTGTAGCGAATTCGTAACACTTGCCAAAATAAGCTGTTTTTTCACTATTAAAAGGTTGATTAATCAGATCAGCATTTAACATAATTTTGGTACTTGGATTACAATCTTCGTGGGAACGATATCTTACTCATCATATATTACTTGTAGCGATTCGTACACTTGCAAAATAAGCTGTCACTATTAAAAGGTGATTAATAGATTCAGATTTTCAATGTTTTTAAAGAGGGGGATTGACTTATAAACTAAGCTTTTGAATTTGACATTGAAATGGATTCTAAACTGTACTCCCACGTCAATTTCTTTTGGTTATTTTATAAGAATCAGAAACTGAAGATTTTAATTTTAGTTTAGAACCAACCGATTATGGTTTCGGTTTTAGTATTTTAACGATTGTAAAACCAACGGTTCTAGTTCCTTAATGGTTCCAAAACCAACGGTTTTTCGATCGGTTTTACATAATTTTAAAGTTAAAAAATCTAACTTACACAAATACCATTAATATAACTAGATATTATATAGCCGTTTATAGATGTTAGAAGGGTTAATTTGGAGATTTTGATAATAATAAAATAAAAATGTATTGGAACCGCTGGTTTTAACCGATTGTCAAAACCTTCGGTTCCGACCAGTTCTCTAAACCACCTATTCACGGTTCTAAAAATTTAAAACCGAAACCGAATCGCAACCTCTTCGATGTGGTTCCAGTTCTAACCAGTTCCGGTTCCAATCGGTACTGAATCGACGGTTCTGGTTTCAAAAACCGAAATTCGGGCACCCCTATCTCATAGCATTTATATGGTATTTATATCTTTCTCTTTATTTATCATAGTTTTTGTTTTAGTTAGAGTATCTTATAAAAGAAAAAGAAATACTCCCTTCATTCACAAATATTTGTTGTATCTTAAATTATAATAAAATATTCATTAATTTGACTGAATTATCCTTTAAAAAAATTATAGAGAATTAAAGATAATTATTGCATTTACTGTAAATAAGAGAAGACTAAATTCTACTCAAATCGGTTCAGCTCCATTAAGGAGTAGTGGCATTCATCCATGAAAATCGAATGTTTTGTGTTGAACTACTCATCGATTACGATTGCTACTATTTAACACTTTAATATGCACTGCATAAATAAACTTGTTTTTAGTTTCATTCATATTAGTTTGGTATGCAGTTATGGAGGTTGCTCAGCAAATTCATGATAGAGTTTAGTGACTTAGTCATTGATAGGTGTTATTTTTTAGTATTTTTAATATAATTTTTATTAGGATATTAGGATTTTTAGTATTTTTAATATTAGGATTTTTAGTATTTTTAATTATTTTAATTAGTTTTTATTTAGTTTTATTTATGTTTTTGTGTAAAGCTTCCTTTAATCATATTTTACTTGATCTTGAGGAATTTTGTAGGATTTTTATAGGAAACCAGCTTAATTCCTATCTAGGCACTGGAAGAGTCCTAATTTGAAAAAAAAAAACAAAGCCTAAATATTTTCCTATCTCCAAAAGATATCTTCCTCCATAAAAATTCACTTTTCTAAATGAACACGAAGATATTCCAGAAATTCTATATAAATAGAGAGACTAGCCATAAAAATAGAGTCATTCATTGTATATTCCATCTTTTGTTCTATTGTTTTCTCTTTCTCCAAGACTTTAAGTATTCAAGATTTGTGTCAAGATTCAAGGAAGCCGCCCAAGCCAATCATTAACTAGTTTTTATTTCTAAACTCTTTTCTTATTTTATTTTCAACTTTTTCTTATTTTATTTTTCAAAAAATTCTTGCTGATTATGAGAAAATATTTACAAGTTTAATTGAGTTTTTATTTAATTACTAATTGAACCAAAATTTCATAACTAGGGATTTGCTTTTTCCTTGTTCATGATATAATTTATTATTGAACTTAATGCTTCCAGACAGCATTTTTTCCCCTGGAAAAATTGATTTATTTCATTAATACCACTTATCCAGGAAGAAGGGGTTTTTTTATATGAATAGGTAAAAATAAATTAATATGAAAATAATAACTTGATGCCAGAAGCTATATTGGTTTGAACTCATGGGTGGAGTTTTCATAAGTTAAATGACACTTTAGGTTATGAAATTCATAAACAAACCAAAAAAGTTTAATGATTTTAAGTGTCATGTTTGATTGCGCTAATTAGAAAGATAGGTAATTAGACCGGTTAAAATCAGCTAACAATACATGGGATTTTTCCCCCTACTTTTAACAATTAATTAATTTATCAAACAAAAAATAATTGGAATAGAATTAGTGAAGTCCAAAATCCCCTAGTAGTTTAAATTCGGTGATTTTTTTTTTCGTCAAAATATTGTTGCCTTCATTGATTATTTTGTTTCTCTTTTTATTTGTTCTCTTTTATTTGTTTAATTTAATTTCTTAAAATAATTCCCCTTATTGCTGTTTAAATAATAATAGGTTAACATAATTTTGATATTTGGTTTATAATTCCTGTGGAAACTATACTCTACTTATTCTATATTATTTGTTGCGATTTTCGTATACTTGCGAAAATCACCCTTAGTCACGCTAAGGAACGGAGGTTGAGAAAGTTAGCTACTACAGAATATAGATCCGTGTATAAAATACAATCAACACCATTGCAAACAAGAACAACAACTAAGAGCGAAACCAAAAGGAAAAGAAAAAAAAAAAAAATCTTTCTTTCTTCTTTCTTATTTCCCTAATCTCTCTTCACAATGCCATCAACCCAAAGCTCATCACCACAAATAGCAGCAAGTCATGTAGCTGTGTGCACATTTCCATTTGGTAGCCATCCATTAAGTTTCTTCAACTTACTTCGTAAATTAGCCACAGAAGCTCCTCAAATTCACTTTTCTTTCTTCACCTTACCGAAAGCAAACTCCATTATCAAGTCATCTCAAAAGAACTCTCCGTTACCAACTAACCTCATGTCCTACGACGTAGACGATGGCATTCCGGAAGGAGTTAATCACTTAACAATAGATCTTGCCGTGGAAGTCAGGCATTTCCTCGAACAGTTACCGTACAACTTCGAAGCCAAATTTCCTCGAACAGTTTACCGTACACTCTCGAAAACGCCCGTAATTGAGAAGTGCCTGGCGGACAAACCGAGAAGAACAAACCCGGTAAGCGGCCGGGAAGTTACTTTGCAATAATGACGGATGCTGTTTTATTGTTTCTCCGCTTGGAAAATGGCGGAGGATATGAATGTTTCATGATACGCCTTTATGGGTACTCATCCAAATGATCTGTTTTGCTGTTTTGAAATGGATAAAAATTCAAAAGCTTTTTTTCGCTACATGCTAAAAGCCGAAAAATTGATCTCTAGATATTATCCTGGATTAATCTTCTTCCTCTAAACCCTTTAAAGATTTAATCCTTGAAATACATTTAAGCGGAGCCAGTAATGAAACTTGTGCCCATAAAATTTATATCGTATGGCAACAAAACTGACCACAAGCAAAAAAGCTCTTTGTTGAATACCTATGAAGAACTAACCCCAATTCCTCTCGACAAAATTTCTAAATTAAAAGTTTAAGAACTTAACCTACATTGGTTGCTCAACTTTGTCGATTACCACAGGAGGAAATGATTGGTAGTTTCCTTCCCTGCAGGTTTGTTTTATTTTCATGGCTCGATAAAGACCAAAAAGTTGGTTCTGGTTTGGTCTTTATATAATCTTTTGGAACAGTTGTAGAAATTAAGGTAGTGAGAGTTTAATGGGCACTAGCTGACAGCCAATTGAATATACGTGTAGCCATTTTCTCTGGTATTCTTTAAAGACAAAATGCAAAAGAAATCTTCCAGAAGGGTTTTTTTCTTGAAAGAACAAAAGACAGAAAGGAATGTGTTTTCTTTGTGGCACCTAACAGGACAGAGAGAGATTTCTGCAACATTGGTTTCAGTTGGTTTGTTTGTTAAACCATGGTGGGGTATAATTCTATTGTGGGAGAGTGGTATTGGGTGGAGTGCCAAATGATTTTTGTAGTCCAGTTTTTGGGCAGCATAATCATATAAATGCAAAAGTTGCAGAGAGGGTGTGGGGGTTTGGAGTGAGAGTTTGAAAGGTAGGGTTAAATCCAACTAAAAGTAATGAATGCGGTTTAAGTTGTTTGGAAAATTTTTTGAGCAGGAAAAAGCCGAAAAGAAACATGAGACAGGCTTGTAATGAAACTTTAGAACAAGTTTTGATCGAAGCTGATGGTCCCTGATGGGTGTTGCTTGCTAGAGTGTTGCTGCTAAGAATCGAAAGACTCTGTTGCACTTAATCAGTGGCTAAAGATCTTATTTTATATGTGCATATATATATAGCGCTACATAAATAAATGAACAGAGGGCCATGGTTGCTACTTAAGATATGTGTCTCATGCAAATATTTTTCATATGCAATTTTTATACGTAATGTAAGCAAGCTTGTACAAGTTTCTTGAGAAAATTCCGATAAATTTTATTTTGAATAATTTTTTGAATACTTATACAAAATAAAGAAAATTAATCAACTTTGCAAATGAATACAAAAAATTAAATTAATTTTAAATTTTATTAATTTTGTTAATTACAATTATAAACCAAACTGAAAAATTAAAAACTGAAGTTGCATTTTTTTTTTCTTAAACCATACTGCAATTAAACTATATATGAAATTAAATTAAACCAGTTGATTTCCATTCAAAATAAATAAATAAATAAACCAGTTGATTGATTCAATTTCAAGCAAATTAACTTAACCAAAGTAAAAACTGAAATCTAAATCATTTGAAATTGTAAATTGAAACCAAATCAATTAATAAAAACTAAATTAGATCAATTTGTTTCGAGTTTAATCCAAATTTTCTCGCTCTTACTCAAATCAATTTTAATTATTAGCTTTAAGTAAAGAAAAGAATTAATCACTCACTTTTCTAAATGTGGGCATCTCATTGTATCTATAAAGATCTAACTCTTTTCATATAAAAAAATTCGAATTGGTAAGAATGACAAAGGTATATGAAATAATAGTCATTTTATTTTTAATTTAAAAGTTTTTTATAGTCTAAAATATTGCAGCCAAAAAAATTAACAAGCAAAAGCTCTTTTGTTGAATACCTAAGAAGAACTAAACCCAATTCCTCTCACAAATTATCTAAAATTAAAAGTTAAGAACTTACTCTACATTGGTTGCTCAACTTTATCGATTACACAGGAGAATGATGGTAGTTCTAGTTCTGCAGGTTGTTTATTTTCATGGCTCGATAGACAAAAAGTTGGTTCTGTTGTCTATATATCTTTTGGAACAGTTTTAGAATTGGAAAGTGAAGAGTTAATGGCATTAGCTGAAGCAATTGAATTTAGTGGTAAGCCATTTCTTTGGTCTCTTAAAGAAAAATATAAAGAAAATCTTCCAAAAGGGTTTCTTGAAAGAAGTAAAGAGAAAGGAAAGGTGGTTCCTTGGGTTGCACAAAGAGATGTTCTGCAACATGTTTCAATTGGTGTGTTTGTAAACCATGGTGGGTATAATTCTATGTTGGAGAGTATATTGGGTGGAGTGCCAATGATTTGTAGGTCAGTTTGGGCAGATAATCATATAAATGCAAAAGTTGCAGAGGAGGTGTGGGGGGTTGCTGTGAGAGTTGAAGGTAGGGTTATTACTCAAAGTGGAATTGTTAAGTGCTTGGAAATGATTTTTGAGCAGGAAAAGGGGAAGAAAATGAGATAGGCTTGTAATGAACTCTTTTCGTATAAAAAAATTCAAATTAGTAAGAACCACGAAGGTATATGAGATAAAAGTTTTTTATAGTCTAAAATATTGCAGCCAAAAAAATTAACTGAGGAAAATAAAGGGGAAGGATCATTTTGCATTGTTCAAAATTAGAGAGAAAAATTAATTAAAAATGTACTAAATTTTGTTCTGCTCACAATATATAATCTCTTTAAATTAAATAGAAAACGAAACACGCAAACTATAACCCATTGGATGACATGGCGGGAGTAGGATGCCTGGTTAGAGATGGCGAGGGGAGATGTGTTGATGGCCGACTGCCGAAACTGGATAGTGTGGTGAGTGCTCTGATGGCAGAGACGACAGGGATCAAGGAAGCTCTAAGTTGGTTGAAAACACGATACCAAAATGTTCCATTGAAGGTGGAGAGTCACAGTTGTTGGTCATTCGAGAGTCAAACACAAGTCAATATTATTTTTCTTACGTTATTACAGCTGATTGTAAAACTTTTTACAAAGGAGTTCAATTTTTTATCATTTGCTTTTGTTAAAGAGATCAGTGAGTCAAGCAACGCATTGATAGCTCATACTGCTGGTTCTATGTCTGATTCATAATGGATCATGAATTATCTTTCTTTTATTCATGATATAATTTTGATGGATACTAATAATAATTAAGTCATCTTTCAGTTAAAAAAAAAAAAAAAAAAAAAAAAAAAAAAAAAACAATATCGACGAATAAATGATAATTAATAACATTAATATAATATTACACTTCACATTATTAGTTCTATAAATAAATACAGAAATGAATTTTAAAATGTAATTTTATTAGCTTTGAAAACAGTAAGGAAAGAGTTATACCTTCAAAACCTTTCACATTATATATCTATAAATAAATAAGAATGAATTTAAAATTGTAAATTTATAGCTTTGAAAACAAAGGAAAAATATACCTTCAAAAAAAAAGAAAACAAAGGAAAAATATAAATGTTTTCCTTTTATTAGAAAAATAATAAACAAAAAAGAACAGTCCAGGCACCCACATGGCGACCGGACCTGAAACAAATCTTCACCGTCGGAACTTCATAATTTTTGGTGCTCTATCTTTTACAGGCAACTCATAACAGTGGAAATGTTCTATCCTTTTATACCATGCCTGAGTACTATGCTTGGAGTGATAGTCTAATGGGAAATGCAAGTAGCTGGACAATCAAGTACTATAAGGTTTATTTTTTATTAGAAGAAAAGCAATTAGGGTAGTGATTATCATATTCTCTGCTGCCAATCATAGTTTATTGTATTTGTGCGTCTGTAATGGGTTTGCTTCACAGGGGCTAGGAACTAATAATCAAAAAGAAGGCAAGGAGTACTTCAAAGACATTGAGAAGGATAAGAAGGTTTTTATTTGGATGGATGACCGAGATGGCAATGCCATAGTGCTTGCGTTCAGTAAGAAGAAGATTGATGAAAGGAAGAATTGGCACGCATTTTGACCAGAAACCGAAGCTAATAAAATACAGGGAGTTCATTAACAAGGAGCTTATTTTGTTTTCAGTGGCGGATTTTCAAAGATCTATTCCTTCCATGATTGATGGCCTGAAGCCAACTCAGAGAAAGATACTTAGATTACTTCCTCAAGCTTTTTCAGAGGAATTTTGGTTCAAGGACAATTAACATTTTATTTACAAGGTGAAGGAATTTCAAAACCTTTAAAATCTCCAATCTCCTGAAAAACTTCAATTTAAATTTTACTGTTTTTTCAATATACGAGATAAATTCCTCCATTTTTCTTTCTTCTGTGCGATTCTTTTTATAGTTAACTTATGTTAGACTATGAAATTTTCGTACTCCGGTCTCATTTATTTGCATGAACCTTGAAAATAACAATGCATATTAAGAATTTAGCCAATAAAATTTATTTTTACCATTTTTTAATCCTTAATTCAATTAAAATATTAATAAAAATTCCTTTATGAAACCAATTATAAGGGTTATTATATAAAAATAAATTATTTATACTATTTAAATTTAAAAAATCTTTATAAAAAAATATTTTTAGACATCAAAAAAAGAATAAACCAAACAAAAGAAGTTGACGTAATTAAATCCGTAAAATTTTAGGTTTGGAACTTGCAACTGATATCTCATTGGGAACCACCCAATAAAGCCCCTTGTTCGATAATCTAATTAAAAAGGTGCAATTTAAATAAATTCAGAAAGTTTTTCAAATCGTTTAGGAGGGGGGATGATTATAAACTAAGCTTTTGAAATTTCTGACATTGGAAAACTAAGCTTTTGAATTTGACATTGAAATGGATTCTAAACTGTACTCCCACGTCAATTTCTTTTGGTTATTTTATAAGAATCAGAAACTGAAGATTTTGATTTTAGTTTAGAACCAACTCATTATGGTTTCGGTTTTAGTATTTTAACGATTGTAAAACCGACGGTTCTAGTTTCTTAATGGTTCCAAAACCAACGGTTTTTCGAACGGTGTTATATAATTTTAAAGTTAAAAAATCTAACTTACACAAATACTGTTAATATAACTAGATATTATATAGCCGTTTATAGATATTAGAGGGGTTAATTTGGAGATTTTGATAAAAATAAAATAAAAATGTGTTGGAACTGCTGGTTCTAGGCGATTATGAAAACCTTCGGTTTCGACCAGTTCTCTAAACCACCTATTCATGGTTCTAAAAATTTAAAACCGAAACCGAGCCGCAACCTCTTCGATGTGGTTCCAGTTCTAGCCAGTTCCGGTTCCAACCGGTTCTGAATCGACGGTTCCGGTTTCAAAAACTAGAATTCGGGCACCCCTATCTCATAGCATTTGTATGGTATTTATATCTTTCTCTTTATTTACTCTCTTATTTTTATAGTTTTTGTTTTAGTTAGAGTCCTCTTATAAAAGAAAGAAAATACCCCTTTCATTCACAAATATTTGTTTATAGTTTTTGTTTTAGTTAGAGTCTCTTATAAAAGAAAAAGAAATACTCCCTTCATTCACAAATATTTGTTGTATCTTAAATTATAATAAAATGTTCATTAATTTGACTAAATTATCCTTTAAAAAAATTATAGAGAATTAAAGATAATTATTGCATTTACTATAAATAAGAGTAAATTTGAAAAAATTTTATTAGTTACTATTAAATTCATAGCCATAATTACAAAAATTGTCAAGATTAATTGCCGAAATTACAAAAATTGTCAAGATTAGGACTTCTTTTTATCATTTAGTCCAATAATTATACCCTCAACTCTCACATCACATCCCCCACACTCCTGCAATTTTGCATTTATATGATTATGTGCCAGACCCACAAACAACTATACCCACCATGTTTTTTTTTTTTTTTTTTTTTTTTTTTTTTTTTTTTTTTTTTTTTTTTTTTTTTTTTTTTTTTTTTTTTTTCTTTTGATAAGAACATGCACCATGCGTTACAAACACACCATGCAAGAAAACCATTTGAAAGTTACCAAAAAATGGCTTAGTAAGACTGAATTCAATTGCTTCAACTAATATCATTAACTCTTCACTACCCAATTCTACAATTGTTCCAAAACTTATACTCCCTTGGATTCTAAATACGTATCGTATTTGAGAACACAGTACTTTCTCATATGATATGTGATAAGTATTTAGGAATGGATAATATTATATTCTCAAATATTTATCACGTTTGTGAATTTCACAAATAATAAATTATTTTTTTCATTTTTGCCATTTATACGATTAATAGTGATTGTTTCAATTTCTCAATAATTGACAGGAACGTAGACAAATTAAAGTAATATAGTCAATTCACTCAATAATTTATTGTAGCGTAAAAATTAAATAATTTTTTTCAAAAACATAAAATCCTAAATGCCACAATTATTTTGGAAATGGAAGGAATATATACAACAAAACCAACTTTTTTAAAATGATTGTTTCTGCCATTTCTACTTATAGTGGCTGCAAGTTGACAAACAAAAAAAACAAAACTGCATTTGTCAAATTATTATTATTATTATTATTGGGGTGTTCTTCTTGTTGTCTGCTACAGGATTCTCCCGAGCCAAGTTGGAGTCATAAGATACTTCCCTGCACTTCGAGTAATAAGGACATCAAGAATTTCTGACTTCAATTCTGTTGGAATACGAGCTCCCTATCAATACTTTCGAATCATATAGAATTATACGAGCTCTCCTGCAACTTATTTAATAATGCAAGCAAAGGCATAAAAATTTCTAAAGGTAGAGGCATATTTATATAAAATTAAAACTTCTAAACACAAAACTTATAAATTAAAATTAAAACAAACCTTGTTCATAATATTTTGTTATATATTGAACTCGAAAAAACTTTTTGTCTAAACCCGCCGTTGAATAAGCACCTCTAGGAGCATTGATGGTCTCTAAACTTGCACCTATCAATCCCAAGGTGCAAAAATCATTACCAAAAACTACAACTTTAGGAGGCATACAATGGGTCACTCGAAAATTTTGTGGTGCTACAAAATGGAAAAAATCTTAAAAATCTGGACATCTCTATGGATAAGTCTAATATTTTGAAGAGTGAAAAATAAAATATATACATATATATATATATGTATCAAATAGCAATTAAGTACAGATTATTTGACAGTAATTGCACAAAATGCATAATACATCATCCACAAATTTAAAATTAAATTTCAACCTGCTCTTAATTTATTACATATGTTATATGTATACTCTTAATTATTTAGAAGTATAGTATACATATAAATCATAACATCCTTCTTCTCTCTACTTTAGCCACTGATTAAGTGCGACAGAGTCTTTCGATTCTTAGCAGCAACACCATCAGGACCATCAGCTTGGATCAAAACTTGTCTAAGTTCATTACAAGCCTGTCTCATTTTCTTCGCTTTTTCCTGCTCAAAAACCATTTCCAAACACTTAACCATTCTACTTTTAGTGATAACCCTACCTTCAACTCTCACTCCAACCCCCCAATTTCCAAAACACTTTAACCATTCTACTTTAGTGATAACCTACCTTCAACTCTCACTCCAACCCTACACCTCCTCTGCAACTTTTGCCATTTTATTATGATTTATGCCTTTGCCCAAACTGAAACCCTAAAAATTCATTGGCATTCCACCCCAATATACTCTTCCCCATCGAATATACCACATGGGTTTTTACCAAACACACAAAACTGAACCATGTTGGCAGAATCTCCTCTTTGTGGTTGCCCAAGAAACCCCCATTCCTTTCTCTTTGGTTTCTTTCAAAGAAACCCTTCCTGGAAGATTTCTTTTGCCAGTCTTTAAGAGACCAGAGAAATGGCTTACCGCTATATTCAATTGCTTCCGCTAGTGCCATTAACTCTTCACTACCCAATTCTACAACTGTTCCAAAAGATATATAGACAACAGAACTAACTTTTTGTCTATCGAGCCATGAAAATAAACAACCTGTAGAAGTAGAACTACCATCATTCTCCTGTGTAATCGATAAAGTTGAGCAACCAATGTAGAGTAAGTTCTTAACTCTTAATTTTAGATAATTTGTGAGAGGAATTGGGTTTAGTTCTTCATAGGTATTCAACAAAAGAGCTTTTGCTTGTGGTAGTTTTTGTGCCATACGATATAAATATGGCACAAGTTCATTACTTGGCTTATAAATAGGCACGAGTTCATTACTTGGGCTTGCTTAAATGGTTATTTTCGGTGGGGTAAATCTTTTAAAAGGGTAGAGAAATTAATCAGAAAATAAAATCCTTACATGATAATTTTTCGCTATTAGCAATTACGCGAAAAGCCTTTGAATTTTATCCAGTTTCAAAATAGCAAACAAGATCAAATTTGCGGATGAAGGTACATAAAAGGCTATCCATGGAACCCATTGCATACCTCCGCCATTTTTCCAAAGCGAAGAACAGATAACAGCATCCGTCCATACTTAATGCAAGTAAACTTCCCCGCCGGCCTTACCGGTGTTCTCTCGGTGTTCCACCAGCACTTCTCCAATACGGCGGTTCCGCAAGTTCTGTACGGTACTGTTTCGAGGAAATCCCTGAAACTTCCACGGCATGAAAATCTATTGTTTAAGGATTAAACTCCCTTCTCCGGAAATGACCAATCGTCCCCTAACTCCGTAGAATTAGGTAACTTGGGTAATGGAGGAGTTCCTTTTGGAAGATGAACTTTTGACATGCGAAGTTTGTTTTCGGTAAAGCTGAAAGAAAAGAAAACTTGAGGTTTTGAGGAGCCTTCTGTGGCCTAAATTTACGAACCTTAAGTTGAAGAAAACCTAAATGGGATGGCCTACTAAAATGGCCCCATGTTGGCACAACAGCTACATGACTGCTGCAATTTGTTGGTGAATGTAGCTTTGGGGTTAATGGCCCCATTTGTGAAATGAAGAATTATTTAGGGAAAATAAGACATAGAAATGATTTCTTTTTTTTTTTTTTTTTTGGGTCTTTTCCTTTGTTTCGCTCTTAGTTTGTTCTTGGTTTTTGAAATTGGTATTGGATTGCATTTTATAGAGGATCTAATATTCCCTGTAGTAATGTCTAACGTTCTCCATACCTCCGTTCGTTAAGTTGACTAAGCATTCGTTAGTTTGACTAAGCAAAGATGAACTTTCGTTAGTTTGACTAAGCAAAGATGAACTTAGTTTAGGTACTAAACTCTATTATGGATTTGCTGAGCAACCTCCATAACATACCTAACTAATATGAATTAAACTAAAAACACGTTTATTTATGCAGGTGCATATTAAGGTTTTAAATATTAGCAATCGCAATCGATGAGTGCCACTCCTCCTTAATGGGGTTGACCTAATTTGAGCAGAATTTAGTCCTAACTTAATTGGCTAGAGATATCTATAATTATACTAAAAAAAAAAAAAAAGAGTAAGCAATTGAATGAGAAAAATAATATTACTAAAGAAAGCTTGATCTTTTAAGCAATATTCTAGTGTGAATGGAGAAAATTGAGTTGGAACGGTCGCCCCCATAATGGGTCTTTGCAGAATCCGAATCCAGATTAGTCAGCTGTGCTGGATACCAGGTGGTTTAAAAAAAAAAAAAACGAAGAAGAAAACTTGATTTTAGCTCATCCTAGAATGTGCATGTAATTCTTTAAGCTTTGCTCTCCATTTTAAAAGTAAAAAAAAAAAAAGGAGGAAAGAAAGCTTGATTAATATAGAAAATTCATATTTTATGTTAATTTCTAAGAAACAACTAATATAGAGAATAATAAATTAATATATATTATGTTAATTTTCTAAGAACACATATAGAGGAATAATAAATTAATATATATCTATAATATATATATATATATATATATATATATATAGTAAAATAGGAAGAATTCACTTAATATCAAATATAAAATTTTATTTATCTTAATAAGAACAAGAATTATACAAGGATTACATTATATATTTCCACAATAAAATATCACTTTTTTTTTTTTAACTAAATATTTTTACATTTTTCTTCTCTTATATTTAAAATATATATATATAAATACTTTTTTCTTTATGTTCGTTTCTGCGTTTCTATATTTTAATTTTCAATTTCATCCGATATAAAATGACATTATTTATAATTGGGTTAGTTTTTGCTAAGTAGAAGAAAGTAAAATGAACTTTAGAAGCTTCTATTTCCAGTTTACGTACCAAGTAAAAGAAAGCTAATTGATGGCCACTAAAAAGAAATATGTTGCTATTTGTGGAAGTGAGATTTTGGTTAGAGTTCTTTTAACGTTGTTGATTGAATTTTATAAAGGGATCTCTAATACCGAACTTTCTGACACTTCATAATGACAGATGCTGTTATCTGTTCTCCGGTTGGAAAAATGGTGAGGATATGAATATTCCATGGATAGCCTTTACAGTACCAACACCACATGGTCTTGTTTGCTATTTTTAAATGGATAAAATTCAAAAGCTTTTCGCTATTTCTAAAAGCGAAAATGATCATATAGATATTATTCCTGGATTATCTTCTTTACCCTTTAATCATATAGCTCATGAAATATATTTAAGCGAGCCAAGTAATGAACTTGTGAATATACTCATGAAATATATTTTAAGCGAGCCAAGTAATGTAACTTTGTGCCATTTTTCCAATATGCATGGGCGCAAAACTACCAACAACAAAAGCAAGTTTTTTTGTTGAACACCTATAAGAACCTACCCAGTTTTCTCCTCACAATTATCCTAAAATCAAAAGTGGAAAGAATTTAACTCTGCAAATGGGTTTGCTTAACTTTATCGATTTAACAGAGGAGAATGACTGGGTAGTACTGCTGACTTCAGCAGGTTGCTGTTTATTTCCATGCGCTTTTGATAAGTCCAAGAAGTCCCGTTCTGTCGGTGTATATATCCTTTTCGAACAAGTTTTAGAAATTGGGTAGTGAAGAAGTTAATGGCATTAGTGAAGCAATTGGAATTTAGTGGTAAGCCATTTCTTTGGTCTCTTAAAGAAAAATATAAAAGAAAATCTTCCCGAAAGGGTTAGCAATTGAATTTAGTGGTAAGCCATTTCTTTGGTCTCTTAAAGAAAAATATAAAGAAAATCTTCCGAAAGGGTTTCTTGAAAGAAGTAAAGAGAAAGGAAAGGTGGTTCCTTGGGTTGCACAAAGAGATGTTCTGCAACACGTTTCAATTGGTGTGTTTGTAAACCATGGTGGGTATAATTCTATGTGGAAGAGTATATTGGGCGGAGTGCCAATGATTTGTAGGTCAGTTTGGGCGGGTAATCATATAAATGCAAAAGTTGCAGAGGAGGTGTGGGGGTTGCTGTGAGAGTTGAAGGCAGGGTTATTACTAAAAGTGGAATTGTTAAGTGCTTGGAAATGATTTTTGAGCAGGAAAAAGAGAAGAAAATGAGACAGGCTTGTAATGACCTCTTTTCATATAAAAAAATTCGAATCAGTAAGAACACGAAGGTATATGAGATAGAAGCCATTTTATTTTTAACTGAAAAGTTTTTTATAGTCTAAAATATTGCAGCCAAAAAAATTAATTGAGGAAAATAAAGGAGAAGGATCATTTTGCATTGTTCAAAATTAGAGAGAAAAATTAATTAAAAATGTCCTAAATTTTGTGCCGCTTACAATATATAATCTCTTTAAATTAAATAGAAAACGAAACACGCAAGCTATAACCCATTGGATGACATGGCGGGAGTAGGATGGCTGGTTAGAGATGGCGAGGGAAGATGTGTTGGTGGCCGACTGCAGAAGCTGGATAGGGTGGTGAGTGCTCTGATGGCAGAGACGACAGGGATCAAGGAAGCTCTAAGTTGGTTGAAAACACGATACAAAATGTTCCGTTGATGGTGGAGAGTGACAGTTGTTGGTCATTCAGGCGTCAAACACAAGTCAACATTATTTTTCTTACGTTAGTTATTACAGCCGATTGTAAAACTTTTTACGAAGGAGTTCTATTTTTTATCCATTGGTTTTGTTAAAGAGGGCGTTGTTAGCTCGTATTGCTGGCTCTATGTCGGATTTATAATGGATTATGAATTATCCTTCTTTTATTTATAATATAATTTTGATCGATATTAATAATAATAAAGTCATTTTTCCAATAAAAAAAAACATATCGAGAATAAATGATATATACATAATTATAATAATACCCCTTTCACATTATATATCTATAAATAAATAAGAATGAATTTAAAATTGTAAATTTATAGCTTTGAAAACAAAGGAAAAATATACCTTCAAAAAAAAGAAAACAAAGGAAAAATATAAGTGTTTTCCTTTTATTAGAAAAATAATAAACACAAAAGAACAGTCCAGGCACCCACATGGCGACCGGACCTGAAACAAATCTTCACCGTCGGAACTTCATAATTTTTGGTGCTCTATCTTTTACAGGCAACTCATAGCAGTGGAAATGTTCTATCCTTTTATACCATGCCTGAGTACTATGCTTGGACTATGGCCTTGGAGGTTTGTCGCCTATGGGAAATGCAAGTAGCTGGACAAATCAAGTACTATATAGGTTTATTTTTTATTAGGGAGAAAAAGCAATAGGGGTTAGTTTTTATTAGGAGAAAAGCAATTAGGGTAGTGGTTATCATATTCTCTGCTGCCAATTATAGTTTATTGTATTTGTGCGTCTGTAATGGGTTTGCTTCACAGGGGCTAGGAACTAATAATCAAAAAGAAGGCAAGGAGTACTTCAAGGACATTGAGAAGCATAAGAAGGTTTTTATTTGGATGGATGACCAAGATGGCAATGCCATAGAGCTTGCTTTCAGTAAGAAGAAGATTGATGAAAGGAAGAATTGGCTTCGGCAATATCAGGTTAGAAGTCCTATTAATGTGCATTTTATTTGTTTTATATATTCCGTCTACTTGACTTTAATTAACAGATTCTTACATTATCTTGGTCTTTTTGCAGCCCGGCACACATCTTGACCAGAAACCGAAGCTAACAAAATACAGCGAGTTCATTAACAAGGAGCTTATTTTGTTTTCAGTGGCGTATTTTCAAAGATCTATTTCTTCCATGATTGATGGCCTGAAGCCAATTCAGAGAAAGATACTTTCAGTTGTTTCAAGAGGAATTTGGTCCAGGACATTAAAGTTTCTCAGTTTCAAGGTTATGTATCTGAGAAGTCTGCTTACCACCATGGTGATCAAAGTCAAGACTTTTAATTATGTATAAAAAGTAAAGCAAGACTTTGCAAAGCCATATATAGTTATACGTCTACTGCTCTAGATCTATATTTAATTATTTGAAGATTAAATGTGTAAATATAATTTATAATCATGACAAGCAATATAGTACCCCCCCGTGGAAAATTATACCGTAATGAAAATAAAAAATCCCAAGAAAAAGATTTTCAATTTTTAATAAAATAAAAAATCCCAAGAAAAAGATTTAATTTTACTTCTAAAAAGAAATTTTAAACAGCTTTTTCATAATTAATAAAAAAAAAATTTGAAACCTTACATACAAATGGATTGAATAGAAAAAGTGCAAGTGCATTATAAAATAACTTTATTTACAAGTTGAGGAATTCAAAACCTCAAATCACCATTTCTGAAAAAACTTAATTTAAATTTTAATTTTTTCATATTACGAGATAAATATTTCATTTTCTTCTTCTTCATTCTTTTTAAGTTAACTATGTTAGACTATGAAATTTTTTACTCCCGTCTCATTTTATTTACATGACTTGAAATAACATGCATATTAAGAATTTAGCCAATAAAAATTATTTTATCATTTTTTACCCTTAACTTCAAGAAATTGAATATTTCTAATAATGTAAATTTTCATGAATATAATTCTAGAAATATTAAATCATCATATTTCGCTGGCAATAAAAAATTATAAAAATTTTTCAAGAAAGAAATATATATATATATATTCTGCAAAGGAAAATTAAATTACATGTGGTTGTTGAATGCTATTCCTATGATGGCCAAACATTTATATATAAAGACTTTTTTTTGTTTTGAAAGGATATTATAAAAGGACCTTTTGGAAGAAATGTTGAACATTCAAAGATCTGGAAATAATTTTATATATATATATATTATATATAATAAATATTATATTATATATGAATAATATATGTTAATTTTATCTAATTCAGTTATTTAATTATTTTTAGAGAAGTCAAGTCTTAACATTTATATGTATAAATTAAATACTATATATATATGTATATTATCTATTCAGTTATTTAATTATTTTTAGAAAGTCAAGTCTACATTTATATGTATAAATTAATACTTTCACTCTAAGCAACAAGCACATGCCAATAATTATACGTTGAGTAACTATGTCAATTCGAACACTTCTAACTCTTCATAAGAATTAAAAAAAATATTGAACAATGCTTAAGTGATTTTTTTTACTCTAATTTTTTTTCAACGATTATTTCTTTACTTTTTTAATATGATCGTATACTCGTTTTAAATTTCAATGTCTCTCTATAAATTTTTTTTTTTTTTACAAATCGAACCTCTGACCTTAATACGAAGAATAGACAATTTTTTTCTTAAGTATATAATAATTATATAATTATTCTATCCACAATTGGAGTGTTCTTCCTTACTAATAAAAACTTTCTTTTTTTTTTTTTTTTGCTTACTTATATATACCAAAATAAAATCTGCATAACATTATTGAATGTTTTTCATTAAATAGCGATCAAATTTTTTGCATAATAATTATACTAATACTTAAGTTCTCATAAACAAATAAAAAGAAATCATACTTTTGACAATTTTGATATATTATTAATTATATTTAATATTTAAAATTAATAAATGAATTCAATCCCATAAATGCTCATCTTCTCATTTTTTTTTTCTCCTTTTCTTTTCTTTTCTCCCCCCTCTCTTTCCTCTTCTTTTTCTATCTTTCCTCTCCATCTTCTAATTCTTCTTCTTCCTCTCATCCTTGTCTCTTTATTTTCATTATTTTTTCTCTTTATGTAAACATATTTTAAAGTTTATTACAATATAAATATTCGTTTGTAAATGGAATTCTAAATAGAATTGATTCAACAAACTTATCAAATTTACCCAGTTTACTAATTAGTATTTCAACTTAATTCAAAGTAAAATTTCAATCTATTTTCAATGTCTTTCTTTTGGAAAAGTAAGATTTTCTCTTATAATAAGTTTTTATTGAATTGAAAAAGATAATACATCATAAAATTGCAGGAAACATGGCTTCTTCGATGATCATTAGAACATGGCTTTCTGTACTGTGTGTCACGAACGATCATTTCCTCATTCCATTTCAAATTCAAAATGAAAATTTCCCGTAAAATAACCATAAATCATAAAGGCCATCAAAAGAACAAACAAGGCCAAACCCCAATATATTAACACCCCATATCTCCCTGGACGTGGGAGATAGTTTGATAACTGGCGGCCAAAAGCGGCAACCCTATCAAAGGTTACGATCCTTCGTCTTGGCAGTTTTGGAACCGATGAACGAACCGTTGATCCATTCTGATGCTTTATGCTGTCATTTTTCGAACTACCTTCTTCAGATTTTCTTGCCTGAACATTTCTCTTTTGTGGGACGTTCTCTGGTTTGGGATCTTGGACAGTCCTGCTTGGAGTTGGAGGGTCTTGGCTATTTTCCCCTTGTGAAACAAAATCTGGTTGTTTTAGGATATCTATCCTCTGTTGGTTTATACATTGCGGGTGCCAACATTTAGGGTTAGCACAAACCACCTGGGAAGGATGAACCCAGTAAGGGTTCATCAAGCAAGGGTTCCCACATATAGGGTTCACCATGTAATGGTTTCCCCAAATATCAGGGTTTAAACCATAAGGGTTCCAGGACTGAGGTCCTACGCTGTAACCCATTTGCTGGCTCCTATACTGTGAATTTTCAGCTTGTGTACTCCCACCAGATGCATTCCCCACCAGGGAATTTTCTCCTCCATGAGCATTTCTTGTTTGTGCATCGCTTCCCCCTGGGATATTCATCTGCGATGGATCACTTGAACTTGATCCTCGGGTACTGTCATCCCCTTGCATTTTTGGCACTCAATGACCTAAAAATGGCTAGTTTCTTTTGTTCAACACTTTTTTGCTTGGCTTAATAACAAGAGAATGAGCATTCCTTATATAGTGCAAATTGCAATTTGGAATTCGTATTAGAAAATGCTTTTAGCTGAGGTCCATTTAAATATTTTAAGTAGATAGCTGAAATGTGACCAATAGCAAGAAAGCACATACAATTAAGAATAAACGAAGACTTTGGCAGGTGATGATAAGTTGCCCATTAACATGTGTTTTTTTAAGATGATCATTATTGACTTAGGATTTAAAAAATGGAGATTACAACGTGGCTAAAGAATCTGAGACCAAGTCATTCAATAGCCAATTTTTTTTTTTTTTTTAACCAGGAATTTTTTTATCCTCACAGTAAAACGTGCTTCGTGAATAACTATTTCAGCAGACACACAACAGAGACTATAATTATATTGAAAAAATAAATTCATAGCCATAATTGCCGAAATTACAAAAATTGTCAAGATTAGGACTTCTTTTTATCATTTAGTCTAATAATTATACCCTCAACTCTCACATCACATCCCCCACATTCCTGCAATTTTGCATTTCTATGATTATCTGCCAGACCCACAAACAATTATACCCACCATGTGTTTTTTTTTTGATAAGGACAGGCACCATGCGTTACAAACACACCATGCAAGAAACCCATTCCAAAGTGACCAAAAAATAGCTTAGTAAGACTGAATTCAACTGCTTCAACTAATATCATTAACTCTTCACTGCCCAATTCTACAGTTGTTCCAAAACTATATTCCCTTCGATTTTAAATACGTATCGTATTTGAGAACATAGTATTTTCTTATATGTGATAAGTATTTAGGAACGGATAATATTATATTCTCAAATACTTATCACGTTCGTGAATTTCACAAATAATAAATTATTTTTTTCATTTTATTCACAAACAATAAATTATTTTTTCCGTCTTTACTCTTTATACGATCAATAGTGATTGTTTCAATTTCTCAATAATTGATAGTAACTTAGACAAATTAAAGGTAATATAAAAAAGGTAAAGATTTTTTATCCTTCTATGAAGTGCACTTCTCCTCCAACTTATTTAATGCAAGCAAAATTAATGATTGAAAAGGCATAAAAATTTTATAAAGGCAGAGGCATATTTATATATATGGCCTTTCAACTTCTTTTAGTTAGAAAAGAGCGAAGAAAAACTTCTAAACACAAAACTTATAAATAAAATTGAAACAAACCTTGTTCATAATATTTTGTTATATATTGAACTCGAAAAAACTTTTTTTTTCTAAACCCGCTGTTGAATAAGCACCTCCAGGAGCATTGATGGTCTCTAAAATTGCACCTATCAATCCCAAGATGCAAAAATTATTACCAAAAATTACAATTTTAGGAGGCATACAATGGGTCACTCGAAAATTTTTTGGTGCTACTACATGGAAAAAATCCTAAAAATCTGGACAATTCTATGGATAAGTCTAATATTTTGAAGAGTTATATATATATATATATATATATATCAAATAGCAATTAAGTACGGTTTATTTAACGGTAATTTCACAAAATACATAGTACATCATCCACAAATTTAAAATTAAAATTCAACCTGCTCTTAATTTATTTTCTTACGTATGTTATGTGTATACTCTTAATTATTCAGAAGTATAGTATACATATAAATCGTAACATCCTTCTTCTCTCTAATTTAGCCACTAATTAACTGCGACAAAACCTTCAGATTCTTAGCAGCACCAGAATCAGGACCATCAGCTTTGATCAAAACTTGTTTAAGTTCATCACAGGCCTGTCTCATTTTCTTCATTTTTTCCTGCTCAAAAACCATTTCCAAACACTTAACCATTCTAGTTTTAGTGATAACTCTATCTTCAACTCTCAAAAAACCATTCCAAAACACTTAAGTTCATCACAGGCCTGTCTCATTTTCTTCATTTTTTCCTGCTCAAAAACCATTTCCAAACACTTAACCATTCTAGTTTTAGTGATAACTCTATCTTCAACTCTCACTCCAATCCCCCACACCTCCTCTGCAATTTTTGCATTTATATGATTATCTGCATAAAATGATCTAAATATAAGTGGCACTGCACCCAATATACTCTCCTGCAATGAATGATACCCTCCATGGGTTACAAACACACCTACTGAACCATGTTGCAGAATATCTCTCTGGGGTGCCCAAGAAACCACCATTCCTTTCTCTTTTGTTCTTTCAAGAAACCCTTCTGGAAGATTTTCTTTGTATTTGTCTTTAAGAGACCAGAGAAATGGCTTACCACTAAATTCAATCGCTTCAGCTAATGCCATTAACTCTTTACTGCCCAATTCTACAACTGTTCCAAAAGATATATAGACAACAGAACCAACTTTTTGTCTATATAGACAACAGAACCAACTTTTTGTCTATCGAGCCATGAAAATAAACAACCTGCAGAAGTAGAACTACCATCATTCTCCTGTGTAATCGATAAAGTTGAGCAACCTATGTAGAGTAAGTTCTTAACTTTTAATTTTAGATAATTTGTGAGAGGAATTGGGTTTAGTTCTTCATAGGTGTTCAACAAAAGAGCTTTTGCTTGTGGTAGTTTTTGTGCCATACGATGTAAATATGGCACAAGTTCATTACTTGGCTTGCTTAAATGTATTTCATGGGGTAAATCTTTAAAGGGTAAAGAAGATAATCCAGGAATAACATCTATATGATCATTTTCGCTTTTAGCATTAGCGAAAAGCTTCTGAATTTTATCCATTTCAAAATAGCAAACAAGATCATTCGGTGGAGCTGCCATGAAGGCTATCCATGGAACATTCATATCCTCCGCCATTTTTCCAAGCGGAGAACAGATAACAGCATCCGTCATTATGCAAGTAACTTCCCGCCGGTTACCGGTTGTTCTCTCGGTGTCCGCCAGCAAATGTTCGCCTCTAGCACTTCATTA